TTATTAATGATCCTGTTCAACAGGAGATCATCCTCTGAGACCAGAACCAGGGATCTGCTGTTGAACAGGTCCATGGAGGTCTCATTGAACGATCTCCACCTGACTCCATGTTGAGGAGATGATGATGATGATGATGATGATGATGGTGAGTCATTTTTAGGACTTGGCAGCAGCTTCACTGAAATGTCACTGAAGAAAATTAGGCTGCAGACACCAAATCAATAACCAGTCAGTCGTCAATCGAGGCAGGAGTCTTGTGTCCTCAGCACAGAGGAGCGTGGGCTCTTATTGATTTCACTGGAACTGGTGATGCAGCTCCAAACCCGGCTTCAGGTCCGAGTCTTTTAACCCTGGGGTTTATAATACAGGGTTATATAATCAATGCACTAACAATGACGTGTCAAAGTCTCCTGATATAATCAATAATCAATAGTCTCCTGATATCTTCTCCACTATCATCACCGTCGTCATTATCAGGAGCAGCAGCAGCTCGGCCTCAAAGTCCAAACACACTCCCTGAAACCTGATCAGGATCTTTCAGCTCCGTCTCTCAGAACTCTGAATCTGCTCCTCCCTAAAAACTCTCTTTCACAGGACTCGGAAACGAAGCTCCAGACCTGGAAAACACTTCCTTTCCAGGTCTGGAAAGTTTGTGAAAGGCAAAACAGTTTCCCTGCAGCAAAGACCAAAAGACACTTCTGTTTGGACGGCTGACATATAGACAGATTTATTTTTTTTACGAGCACATGTGACCCTAAACACATTTTATTATTCACACACATCTATTTTTCAGTCGCAGTGAAACGGTCGCTCCGTCGAGGCCTCGTGGTCATCATCTCTAAAACTCACCGCAGCTGAGAGGAGGACAGAGTCATGGAGCGCTGAGGTGGAACACAACCATTGGACAGGAGTCCCTTCACACATACCACAACAGTTAAGACCCCGCCCCCGTCTGACAGGGAGACTGTGAGGGGCGTGTGTGAACATGCTGCCAAACTTTGGGGGCAGATCTCCTGACAGTTTTTGGGAGCGCACGTGTGAAAGCGTCTGAACGAGACGGAGTCTCTGCTCACTTCTGGAGTTCAACATGTTTGAGGAGAAACACCTTCAATCTTCAGAGGGACCACACACACACACACACACACACACACACACACACACACACACACACAGAGATCATCATAACATAGATGTAAATGTGATAGACTGAACTGATTATAATCTGAACAGATATGCTGATTCTACACGGCACACATCTATATCAGGACCTGCAGCAGTGGACCACTTTAGTCCCTCAATGATGATGTCACAGAGCAAACAGACCCCCCCCCCCCCCCCCCCGCCTGAATCTGACTGTTGATGAAGTAAACATAGAAGCTGCAACAAAGAGCAGAGAGGCAACAACAGAGGAGATGAGGGCTGGAAACAAAGAACACACACATCACAGACACACAGACACACACACACACACACACACACACACACACACACACACACACACACACACACACACACACACACAGACACACACACACACACATCACAGACACACACACACACACACACACACACACACACAGGCTGCTGTTGTCATGTTAATGCACGTGAACGGCTCTGAGCGTTGTTCAGGCGCTGCGATTGGTGTGGAAACCCTTCAGGGGTTCTGGTCCGGTCCGGTTCAGTCAGACCCGGGGGGTTGGGGTTGGGAGGACGACATATTTGATGTGTATCTATTAGAGCCCGATCGATTGTTTATCGGCCAAAACTCGCCGATTTTCTGATTTCAGATCTGCTTTTACATTTGGAGGAACCGTGAGAATAAAAACCCTCATCAGGTCTCATCAGCACATCAGTCTGAGACCACCTTAAATACCAACAGACCACCTTAAATCACCAGAAGAAGTAGAAACTGTAAAAAGTGTTTTTTAGTCTCTGAATAAAGTGGTGAGACCTGATCTCACCTGTCAGATGAAACATTAGCGCCTGACTCAGACAATAAAGAATAAAGTTATTCATCTCCACAACAGGAGACTCGAGGAGGACAAAGGGTTCAGCTGCAGCCCACTTACTGCTCACAACTCAGAACTCAGAACTCAGAACTCAGAACGAACCGTGTTCAACTCCAGACTGAGTCAAGAAGACAAACCCGAGGTTCTTCTTTCTGCTGATATGAAGGTTCAGAAACATCTGCAGATCATGAGGAACAGTGATTAGAACAACTATTACTATAACAACAACTATGATAGCTATGGCAATAATAATAATAATTATAATAATAATAATAATAATAATAATAATAATAATAATTATTATTATTATTATTATTATTATTATTGTTATAATAATAATTATTATTATAATAATGATTATAATAATAATAATAATAATAATAATAATAATAATAATAATAATAATAATTATAATAATTATAATTATAATAATGATTATAATAATAATAATAATAATAATAATAATAATAATAATAATAATTAGGGCCCGACCCATATGGATTTTTTGGGGCCGATGCCGATTATTAGGGGGGAAAAATCTGATAACCGATTAATCGGACGATTTTTTAAAATTTTTATTAAGTTGTAAAAAATATTTATCTACTGTAGATATTCTGTAGGTTACGGCTCTTCACACCGACAGGAAGACCGACTGACCGTCTCAGTAATATTCCACATATTTATCATGAATCAAACTCGGACCAGAAAAGCGTTTTCAACCCGATCGATCACTAATGTGTTCTGTTGTTTATTCTACCGTTACTGACACGGCTAACAGTGTAGCTAACAGGCTAACAGCAGGTGGCTAACTCTAACGTTAGCTTCATATCCCATGGTGCTTCAGCGTTAAGTGGGCGTGACCGAGACCAGCACAGCGGGAACATGGTGAAGTGGGCTGAACTGAAACTTGTTGACTTATTGTGTTTTTCACAAACTGGTTTATTTCCTAAAGAGAATTATTCTGTTCTAGTTTCTGTATCAGTTTTTGAAAACAGTCTATCATCTTCTGGAAGGTTCTGCTGGATCTGTGGGGTCTCAGCAGGTCCATACAAAGACCAGAATCACAGGTCCTTAAACTGAGGGGGGGGCAGAGTCCAGAGACATGAGACCGTCTGGAGGATTTAATGTGGGGGGGTCTGAGCTGAACCAGAGGTTCTGTCAGGTAGTTTGAGCTTCATCAGCTGTTTTGGATCAGAACCCCCCCCCCCTCAGAGAAGCAGACCAGAGATGGTCAATCTGGGTCTTTGTCCCCCCCAGGAGACCCCGAATCGAGGGCATTTCTCAGGGAGAATGACACATCTGTGACACCTGACAGGTCTGCCCGGGTGTTCGAACCCTGAGGGCGATGATGTCATTTCAGAGGAGCACGCCGTGGCGCCGGCTCAAATCCCGGTTGTTGCAGGAGTGAGATGACGGGTCGTCTGTCAGAGAGGATCCATTAGGGAAATTGTCTTTGAGAGATGATGACACAGTTAGCGCTGCAGGATGACAGACACGCCGCGAGCTCACTGTCTAATCCGGGATCGGTGGTCAGCTAAACGCTGACCTCGCCGCTCAGCGCTGCTCTTTGTTCTTCCTCTCTGGAGGAGGAGGAGGACACTTACCTGAGAGCAGAGAAACACGTCTTCACAGACTCCAGGAGAACCACAGCCAACGACTCAAACTAAAAACTGTTGAAACACGTCCGCACATGTCCGCCGTCACAGAGACGGGCGTCATCACAACTTCCTGTCTGGGGGAGAAAACCATAAAGACGGTCTGGGGTCTAAAAACGAGGATCAGAGAGACCAGCTCTGACATGTCAGGTCCACATCTTCATGAAATCAGACTCATCTGGACCATCAGGACCAGAAGACCTGCTCTTTGGTCGAATTCTGAGACGTGGATCTGAAGATTGATCAGCGAGGAGGTCGTCAATCTTTTCATCATCTGAGTCAATCTTTAAATCCGTGTCAGCAGGAAAACTTCATTCAAAGTGGAACCTGAGGAAGACGGCTCCAAGAGGCCCGAGGTCCTGGACTCTGTGCTCCTCCTGCTGACTCTGGAATATTCCGGTTCTCCGTGTTTTACCTCCATCTCTGCGGTTCATCCAGGATCTCTGAATTTTTGCATCATTGTATCATGAAGTGAGTCCATGCTGACATCCTGGAACATCTCAGCACCTCAGAGTTCAGGGGACAAATCCAGCAGGTCAGTTTGGTGGACTCCATGATTCTCCTAAAGGGACTAACGTCTCAGTTTGAGATCAATCGAAACCTCGTTAATATCAGGGCACAACCCCCCCTCAGTGTCCCTGCAGGACTCCACAGAGCGACCGTTTCACTCGCACATATGAAAATAGATGTGGGTGAATATTTAGGGTCACATGATCAACAAATGTTTTTTTTTCCTGTAAATACGGCGGTGAAGTTAGTTTCAGGTTGGATATATTTTCCTGTAAATACGGCGGTGAAGTTAGTTTCAGGTTGGATATATTTTCCTGTAAATACGGCGGTGAAGTTAGTTTTAGGTTGGATATATTCTCCTGTAAATATGGCGGTGAAGTTAGTTTCAGGTTGGATATATTTTCCTGTAAATACGGCGGTGAAGTTAGTTTCAGGTTGGATATATTCTCCTGTAAATACGGCGGTGAAGTTAGTTTCAGGTTGGATATATTTTCCTGTAAATACGGCGGTGAAGTTAGTTTCAGGTTGGATATATTTTCCTGTAAATACGGCGGTGAAGTTAGTTTCAGGTTGGATATATTCTCCTGTAAATACAGCGGTGAAGTTAGTTTCAGGTTGGATATATTTTCCTGTAAATACGGCGGTGAAGTTAGTTTCAGGTTGGATATATTTTCCTGTAAATACGGCGGTGAAGTTAGTTTTAGGTTGGATATATTCTCCTGTAAATATGGCGGTGAAGTTAGTTTCAGGTTGGATATATTTTCCTGTAAATACGGCGGTGAAGTTAGTTTCAGGTTGGATATATTTTCCTGTAAATACGGCGGTGAAGTTAGTTTTAGGTTGGATATATTTTCCTGTAAATACGGCGGTGAAGTTAGTTTCAGGTTGGATATATTCTCCTGTAAATACAGCGGTGAAGTTAGTTTCAGGTTGGATATATTTTCCTGTAAATACGGCGGTGAAGTTAGTTTCAGGTTGGATATCTGACGGACATTCTCTGAGGATCTACCGGTGTCTTCTCACTCTCCATAACCGGGAATAACAACAGCAGCGCGGTTAAATCTACTCGACACCCTCACTGTCAACGTCGGTGTTGAATAAGGGACCGTCAATAAATTACCGGTTGATGTTCTCAGAAAAGGCTGTTTTCCTTCAATAGCTTCACTGTCATGTCAACTCAGGAGAACATGAACAAAGTTAGAGTCAAACCCTGAAAACACAGAAACATCAGGCTCCACTCCTGATAACATGTTTCAGGCCTTCAAAATAAAACTCCTGCTAACATGTTTCAGGCCTTCAAAATAAAACTCCTGCTAACATGTTTCAGGCCTTCAAAATAAAACTCCTGCTAACATGTTTCAGGCCTTCAAAATAAAACTCCTGTCCTCATGACTGACCCTGAGCTGCAGGGTCATTATTCTGGGCTGGTCCAGACCATCTCCTGATCTCTTGCTCCAGGGCGGCCGACATGTTTAAAGAGGAGACGAGGAGACACCACGGCATCTCTCCTGGAAATAAAGGATCTGAGATCTGCTCTGTCCTCTAAAGACCCGGGTTTGAATCTTCTGACTGGACTAGTCTGGGATCTTACAGACCATGAATTCACTGTTCACTTCAAACTGACGGACAGGTTTCTGAAGGAGACCCTAATGAAAGACTCATGAAGCTGTAAACAGTCTTACAGGTGCAGCGAAGAGAATTCAGGGCCGTAAGGAGACGCCAATCAAGTTTGATCTGAACACGCCCACACAGTCAGAGAAAGCAGCCAATCAGCCCACTGACTGAGGAGAAGAAGACTTGAGTGGGAGCAGCGCGGCGGTACAGAGGCACTTTCTGTTAAAGCTGTAAAGTCAGATGGACTCTGAGTGCACGTGAACTTTTACAATAACGACTGTAAACCATCGAACGGATCGAACCAGTTAAACATGAAGAAAAACTCAGAGATCGAACCTCTCAGTTTTTAAACACCGTCAGTCGAAAACGTTAGAAAGTTGGTTTATTAACATCAAATAAGACTTTTTAAATCTTTGATCAGAGTAAAAATGATCGATGCTTCAACTTTTCACACCAGACCGACTCTGAGAACGAGGAGGAGAGGAACCGGAGAGACAAAGACACAAACGTGTCCGAGACAAGAGTTTCCCCTGTCTGTGTGTGTGTGTGTGTGTGTGTGTGTGCGGCTAATACACTCGTACTGTTTTGGACAACAACACAGAAAAAAAGGGGGTGGGGTCACATGACAACGCGGCTGACTCCATGACAGCGATGTCATGAAGAGGTGATTTTACAGGGGTCAGAGGTCGTTTCTGTGTGGACTTTGGTTTAGAGCAGATCTGAACCTAAACTTTTACATGTCATTGTCCTTGTTACCATGACGATACAGGACGATTCTATTCTGAGGTTACAGAACCTCCTTCAGGTCTTTTCTAGACCGGACCCACTGACCGGGAAACCGTCTCTGCTCCTAAAGACTAAAGTCCAGATCCTGAACCATGGGGAGTCTGCCACGGCTCAGTGAAGATCCAGTCCCTCCAGCTTTGGACTTGGACCCGGATCCTCCAATGACCAAAGACTCAGACTCTCCTCTGGTACCACCAGAACCACTACCACTGAAGCTGAGGGCAGACAAGTCCAGCTTTGACCTGTAAGAAGGACTAAAACGGACTTCGGTGTCCCCAGAAAGAGACTGACTCACTCAGAGAGACGCTCCAGCATGTTTGGGACCAGCAGATCCAGGTTTTGTCTTCTACCAGACCAAAGAGGAGGATTTCAGAGTCCTGAAGACCTCCTCATGTTCATGGTGGTCTCACCCCTGACCTGTTAGCAGCCAGAACCAGTTCCCTCTGTCAGTGATCCTAAACTCACACCTGAACCTTTACAGACTGACCCAGAGAGAGTCCTGAACACACCCATGTTTGACTAGAACCTCCATCAGTCCTCCATCAGTCCTCCATCAGTCCTCCTGCAGACATGGAGAACAAGAGAGGGAGGGACCGTCTCCAAAGCACCGATAAGATCATCCAGACTGAGCCTGAGGGTGACCTTCAGCACGGGTCCACAGCAGACTGGACTCTTCTGTTCTGATAACACCATCAAACATCATCGTCACCATCATCACCATCAGAGCTCCTCTGAGGAGCTGACGGTTCACCAGAGCTCCTGATGAACAAAGAGGGTCTGTGCTGAGGGGAGGAGCCACGAGAACAGATCCAGGAAACCCACCTGAGCGGACTCGGACCTGAAGGAGCATCAGGAGTCTTTTTAAAGCTCCATGACTCTGAAGCAGACCGACACCTTTTCAAGATTCATCTCCAGGAAAACTTCAGAACCTAGAGTACAGATAAATACTGAACTGAGGCTTTTATTTTGAAAAGATGCAGGAAATGATCCCTTTGAGCGTGACTGTAAAGACTGTGTCCTTGGACTGAACCTGGGTTATCTCAGCTGTGTGGACTCAGACTCTGAGATCCGGTTTTAACAGAGTCCATCGACCCATCACTGTCAACCTGTCCTTGAGTCTGGGGTCACCATGTTGGCGGTCAAACGGGGTCTGTGTCCTGATGCTGACCCCCTCCACATAAACAGACTGATCTCACAGAGCATTTCCTCTTTAATATCAACAACGTGATTATTATTTTGACTTCGACTGACTGACGCACGACCTCTCTCTCTCTCTCTCTCTCTCTCTCTCTCTCTCTCTCTCTCTCTCCCTCTCTCCCCCTCTCTCTCTCTCTCTCTCTCTCTCTCTCTCTCTCTCTCTCTCTCTCTCTCTCTCTCTCTCTCTCTCTCTCTCTCTCTCTCTCTCTCTCTCTCTCTCTCCCTCTCTCTCTCCCTCTCTCCCCCTCTCCCTCTCTCTCTCCCTCTCCCTCTCTCTCTCTCTCTCTCCCTCTCTCTCTCTCTCTCTCTATAGAGGAAGTGTCTCACCACCTTCTCTGCAGGGAACAGAGGAACAGAGGACAGACAACACCATCCAGGGAGGGGAGGACAACACTCCGCACCAACTTTACAGTCCGACTACACCGTATTACATATATGTATATATATGTTTATGTATGTATATGTATATGTGTATATATGTATACATATATGATTTGATATCCTGTAGGTCAGAATCTCCGTCCATCTTGACTCTGAATGTTGGTAAAAAACAAACTAACCCTGAGCAGTAAAATGAGAGAGTCCTCAGTCATAGACAGTTGGGCTGTCCCGATACGATATTGATATCGGATATCGGTTCGATATCAGCCGAAAAAACAAATATCGGATTATAACAGCCTGCATCTAAAATCTCCGATATCAGCGCTCCGATAAAAGCAGTCCGTTCCAGACTCCGCTCCGGCACCTCGGATTAGCAGCGCTCGGATCACGTGATCACAACAACAGCGTGTACGAAGGAGCAGGAGTGATGTCGGCCATGTGGCAGTATTTTTCGTCAAAATCCGAAAAAGACACTGCTGCTGAGTGCATGAACAAGTTTGCGCCAATATCAGATCAATGTCGGTATTGGCCGATACTGAAGGCGACAATATCGATGTCGTATCAGAAGTATAAAAGTTATATCGGGAAAACCCGAACAGACGTGTTTATCTTCTCGGAGGTCCTGGAAAACTTTGAGTTTATCAAAGACTCTTTCCTCCGTCCTCAACCTTCTCCTCTGAGGGACGTTTTCTAAAGGACCTGTCCTTCCACCTGCACTCCCTTCTTTACCTGTTTGACTGTTTGACAGAGGAGCACGAATCTCAGCCTCCAAACCCTCAATAAAAACCTAAATAATCTAAAGGAGACAGAGAACGATGACTGCAGGTCAACGTTCAGTCAGCGCTCACACGATACAGACGCTTCAAACCACAGCCAATCACAGAGGCAGGTGTCAGGTGTGAAACAGATTCACTAAAGCACAGGTGTTCTATAGGCAGAAGGCTCTGCATTATTAATCTCTACACCGTGTTGGTCCCCATGTCGCCACTTAACAGTTTGTAAGCAATTTGCTCTCAGGCCTGTGTAACCGAACACGTCTGAAACGCGGCTCAAACACCGTCATACACACTCCTGATCACTGTCCGAAACACGTTTGAAATCCAGGAGAACAGGAGCTGAAGGAACCTGAAGACAGCGTCCACTTACAGAGGGAACCTGATGTTCACATTTTCATTCAGGATATTTATCAGAGACACTCGTCTTTTTACAGACTTCACCTTCTTCAGGATCAGGAAACACAGACAGACCTTTACTTCATCCAGAGGGTTAAAAGAGCGTCAGAGCGTCCGTCATAAACGCCGCTCTCTAAAACATTTACCCGTGTTTTTATGTTTTAATCTCAGAGAGTCAAAGGTGAAAACAGACGCAGCATCAAACCGATCAGCTCAGATAATCAATACCTGATATTTTTAAATAGATCGAAACTTTGTCCATCATGTGTTTGTCACTGTGTGTGTCTGTGTGTGTCTGTGTGTGTGTGTGTGTGTGTGTGTGGTTTACCTGTGTAACCTGCGATCCAGCCCCAGGAGGACACCATGGCCAACAACCACTTGAACATGATCCCCTCGATGTGCCAGAAGGTGGCGCTGTCCCATATTCTGAGCGGCTGCAGCAGCAGCAGGTAGAAGCAGTAGGAGGGGATGGCCACACAGTTGTTGAAGAACATGAACACGAAGCGCAGAACAGACCGGACCAGAACCCAGCCCAGTTTACCGGCTCCGTCCAAGAGTTCTGCCATCCTGATACAGACCGTCTGAAACCACAGAGAGGAAGGCGGGGTTAGAATCTAAGATAGAAAACACAGAGTTAGAATCTAAGATAGAAAACACAGAGTTAGAATCTAAGATAGAAAACACAGAGTTAGAATCTAAGATAGAAAACACACAGGAGGACAGGTGAGGGCAAAGAGGGTCACAGAACCGTGTCCCAAACAGGAGCAGGTAGGACTGGGCGATAAAACAATAACGATATCAGAAATTAATTTCCCTCAATATCAATATAATAGTCAATATCAATAGTCGTCATTCTGACATGTTTTGGTCGACTATACGAACAGCCAATGAAAAGGGGAGTTTCTCCGGGTCTGAACCAATCATGTTCTGAATTAGAACCAAGTATCAACCAACTGCAGCGTCGTAGCAGACAGCAGCTCCACCCAACCATAGCACTTTAACAGGTGAAGCCGACAGCACTGTTGGTGAGAAACAAAAGAAAATGAGTGCTACCCCCGACAGAAATGACCATGAAGGCTCAACAGATGACCACATCAATGTCAACCACAACACTGGCGTTAGGAAAACGTCGGTGGTGTGGAGGTATTTTGGTTTTTGGAGGTCGGACATGAAGCAGAGTAATGTGGACTGTAAATTATGTCGAGTACATGTTCTCACAAAGTCGGGGAATACCTCAAATCTTTTTCACCACCTGAAGCGGCGCCACGCCGCAGAGCACGCGCAACGCCAAAGGTCACGAACCCCGAGAGGAGCGAGGAGCCCGTGGCGCCTGAAACAGACGACCATTCAGTCGGCTTTCTCTAGAGCGACGCCTTACGACAAAACGCCAAAGAGACACAAAGACCTCACAGATGCAGGAGATTATTGGAAAAGACATGAGACCAAGAAACACTGTTACAGTTTTATATCCTGGTATGAAAATATCGGGATAAACGCGATTAATCGTGATTTTACCGTATCGTCCAGCCCTACATCAGGACTCAGATCCACATTATAAACCAGTCCCCCCCCCCCCGGACCGGGTCTCTGGTTCCTCTAATGCCCCCCCTCACAGTCCTCTCTCTCCAGACTCTGAAGGATCCGGTTCTGTACCGGTTCTCCTCCTTACAGAATCACAGAGAGAGTCCAGAGTCCGGACCATAAAAGGACCGGGTCCCTTACAGACCCCCCACAGACCTGCTTGCTAACAGAAGGTTCCGTTAGCTCCTCGGGGTTCCCTGTAAATGTGTCCGGATGGAAACAGGTGGACTCTAAAAACCCGGTCCAGGACTGTAACCCCGAACCGTGAACCAGTCTGATCCGGATCTCTGAGGACAGATCTAAAGGGCAGTCAGTAGTCCCGGATGTGGACCTGGACCCTGAAGTCTGACTCACCTGGTTTTGAAGGTCGGCTCCTTTGATCTCAGGTAAAAAAACGGGGTCACGTGCCGCAGGTTAGGGCCGCTCAGGTGAGCATGTTCGAGCCGACATGTTTGTTTTTAATCGGAGGAGGAAAAAGGAGAAGAGCTTTAAAGGGAGGGAGGGAGCCCATCCAGCTAACGGGATCCGGCTCGGATCCGGATCACCGAATCCCGGTACCGCTGCTGTTAGCCCGCTAGCTAACTAGCAAAGAGCTGAGCGTGGATGGGTCCATCTCAGTCCGAACCGCGGGGATAAATCCACGGAAACACCTTCATCATCTTCATCTTCATCATCTTCGTCAACTTAGCTAGCTGCTCCGTTAGCGCGGAAAGGCGCGGGGCGGCGCGTGCCGGCCGACGATTCCCGCCGCTCAATGTTCGATAAACGTCACAGTTCGTTAAAAACGACAGAACCACAGCGAACACGACCGACACCGAACCGTCGATTCGGGGCTAAACAGACCCGTTATCTTCCTCCAGACCCGGATTCACACCGCGCCAGTGTACACAAAAAACCAGCCAAGCTTCCGGGAGTGAGCGCGGGAACGAGGCGGAAGTACCTTCAAAATAAAAGCCCAAACTGAGACTTAAGAAAGTTTTTAACGATTTAAAGCAGCAGAAATAAAGTAAATATAATAATATTAAACCAGATTGATAATCAGAAATACTTTAATAATCTCAAGGGGGAAATAGATTTTTATCACAGTAACTCCAGCGCAAATAAAGTAGAAAGAGGAGATAAATAATAGATAAAATACGTAAAGATTTCCCTTTAATGTCTGAAAACACAAATTAAAACCAGAAAATTCTCTTCATTTTGGAGCTGAAATTTTTATTTGACTTACAATTGAAAATCAAAATGTCTTTAAAATTTAACAAATATATTTATATATCTTATTAGATGTTTTTGGAAACTGATAAACTACAAGAGGACATTTTTTTCATTTATCAGACTGTACTCAGGTGTTTTTTCAGTAATTTATTGACCATGTTGATTTGACAGAAGTTTATAAACGTATGAATCAAATATGATACAAAAGGCAATAAAGTAAAAATAAAGAGAAAAAGAGATACACTACTAATTATAAATAAGTAAAAATAAAGAGATAATATCAGCCTGTTTGATAATGAGCGGAGGTTGTTCAACAGTGCTGAAAGGTTAGTGAAGTACACATGTAGATAAACATAAATTACTGTCGCTGTTACTGTTACAGTTTCAGTTCTTTTTACAAACCTTGAGGGAACGGGGACTCAATAATGGATCAAGTAGGTACCAGTATGGGTACTGTTCCAGTGGTTCAGAGTCAGACTCTGGTCCTGGACAGCTGGTTTGGAGTCAGTGTAGACTCTCTGATCATGTAATACAGAGTCTTAACAGACAGGGTTCGACCTCTGAGTGATGGTTCGGCTCAGACGGTTGTTCACACCGTGTTATTAGTTCAATGTTTGTTTATATAAGGTGATTTTAAGGTGATACTGTAGTCAAATTTCTAACGTGTACACATACTTTATGCTAATAAAGCTGATTTTTTTCACTGTAAAGTCTTTTTCTTAGCTGTAAATTTATCAGGCCAAGGGTGTAGTGTGATTATATTTTGAAAATCCTAACCGGAAGTCTTAAATGTAGTCAGTGTGACTTGTCGTGTGTCGTTCACCTGACGCCAGCCCTCAGACATGAAGTGCGCAGACTCCCTCATGTCAAGTCCTGATGATGGTCTCGGTGTCCCAGAAAAACAAAAAACCCGTTTTTTCGTGACTTTAGCCGAAATTATCCGGATTTATTCCCGGATGTTGATTCTGCGTTAAGGTGACATGATGTGAATTAAAATAAAAACATGTTGAAGTGTTAAACTGAGAGCAGACAGAGGCTCCTACAGCAGCAGAGGTTTGACTTTAATGAAATAAAATCAGATTTAAATGTGATTTCGGTCAGAAATGACAAACATGTCATTAAAAAACTCACAGTTGAGGATTTTTGTGTGTTTTTATTTAAAATCTCAGTTGAACAGGATGATGGAGAAAAGTCCGATTTTGATAATCTCTTCAGACAATGAGGGTGAGTTCACGGCTCTGTGCTGCCCTCTGGTGTCCTGTTCTGGTGCTTCTTTAATAAAAGAGAAATCCAAGGACATTCAGTACGAAGCAGGAGATTACAGCCAACAGGAAAACCTCCTGGATTAACAGAAACGACAGAGTTTAAAGGCTTTTTTATGGAGGCTGTTTTTTTATCTGGAGTTTAACTCTGTGTGGACCGAGCGCTTCAGTGAAATGACCTGATTTCAGGCGGTCTGTTCACGATGGCGTTCTACGGAGAAGACACTTGACAGCATCAAAATTAAAGTCGGATTTTAATGATCAAAAAAATGTACAAATTCATCCTGTCAGACACAAAACAGGTCAAAAACACGCACTATAAAAGAACTCCTGGTTGACTAGAAGCGGGTGTACGCGCCCCTCTGTGGCGCCGGCTGAGCTCCTCCTTGCTGCTGCAGCTGATGGCGGAGCTGCTGTGAATACGGATCCTCCAGGGATTTGACGGACACGGTCGTCTTTGGTCCGGTCTTCCACTCGATCCCACTCTCATCCACGACGGAGGCCTCCACGGTGACGGTGTGGGTGCCCAGGATGGAGAAGTTCAGCAGGAACTGGGTGCTGAAGTAGTCGTTGTGTGGTTCGACACGCTGCTCAATCTCATTGGTTTTAGAGTCGAGAGGAATCTGAGCAGGAAGAACATGAAGACAGGACAAATGTGGTCAAAATAAGGAACCAATCAAACATCAGCCCCGGCCTGAACCCGAGGTTTGTAACAGGAAAAGGAGACACGGGGATGAGGACACCTTGTAGTCCGGTCCTGTCTTGCTCTGGAGGACTGAAGTCACGTTGAGACAGACGGCCTGGATCTTTCTGAAGAGACCAGGAGTGGAACCGTGCTGCACCACCCCCTCCACCTTCAGAGTCAGCTGCTGACTGTTCTGCACAGGGATTGGTTCACTCGGCGTTCGTGGAGAAGGAGAGAGAGCGAGCTGGAAGGAAAAAACGAGTTAAACCCGAGTATTCACAACGATAAACAGAAGGTGTTTGAGGCCGGCCGACTCTCGACCTGCAGGTCAAAACCATCGACTGTCTTTACGCTCGACTCTTCTGTTCCTCCTTCCTCCAGTTTACCGATTTGAAGACGAAAAGTTCTCAGTAATTCCGCGTTTTTTTCTTCACTTCCTGAAACCAAAATTTGGCGAGAGAGTCGCTGTGATGACGCTCAGCTCAAACAGCGTATCCCCCCGGTGATCTACTCAATCTCTGTCCTCCCATAGGCTGTATCAGGTGTCAATCATAGAAAACATGAACCCCCTACTAACTCTTAAAAATGGAGCTGCACAGAAAAAAGAGGACTTGAGCACAAACCAGTCTGACAGTAACTACATGTCAACATCACAATCAGGGGGGAGAAACATTTATATTCTGTGTCATTCATTTATAAAGTTTGTCCACAGCTCCATAAGGAGGCGGGGTTTAGGACCTATACTGCAGCCCGTCACCAGAGGGCACTGTTCTCAGAGAGAGGAGGCAGACGGCGTCTATTCTAGATACGGTCTACGGTCGTGACACCAGAGTGTTCTCTGATTGGTCCGTTCTTCAGTTTCCACGCCTGTTTCCTCCACCAGAGATACCTGAAGAGGGCGCTCTTCATCCAGTCCAGGATTTAAAAACAGTAAACATGTCTGCTGTTACCATGACTGCACTTCCTGTTTGGGTGAGACACGTGCTGATGTGTGTGTGTGTGTGTGTGTCTCAGAACTCGCTCTCACCTTGATGCTCGTTGACTGAAGCTTCTGGAAGAAATACCTCTGGAAGGAGAGCGGGACCTTCAGCAGAGCGATGACGGCGTCACACAGACAGCCTGTGTGCTAAAAAGGAGAGGGTCAGAGGTCAGAGGTCAGCCTCTCTGTGTCCGTCCACGTCCAAACGTTGGACAGAGTAAACCTGCGTCTCCGACAGTAACGTGGTCGGACAGGATCTTAGAGACAAAACGAGAGCAGATCCCACTGACCATGAGGAGACATCAGCTGATGGATCATCTCAGACTCACCAGACACGACACAGGAGGATGTTTCTTGGTGAGACCTTCCACTTCCTCCAGGACACGACTGAAGACCGACATCATCCGGCGCTCGTACTCGCTCTCAGTCTGGACCGAGCCCAGGGCGCCGTACTCCTGAAAACTGGATCACAGACGCAGACAGATCAGGTCCAGGTCAAAGGTCTTCAGGAGATGTTTGTGATGGTGGAGCGTCTTTAACGGGTCAGGACGTTGAAGAAGCTGTCCGATGAGGAGCGGGACGTGGTTCTGACTGGAGTCCACCTCAGCGTTGTTCACGTCACACTTCTCAAAAACTAAATTAGTAAGAATATTTCTGAACGTAGACCTGTGATGTGACAGATGTAAACAAACTTCAGCTACTTCCTGTCACATGTTCTGGTCCAGAACTTGTTCCTTTCTGCTCGGTGGTCCTCCTCACCACGATGATCTCCTCAGCAGGTACAAACAGAGCTCTCTGTAGATCTGAGTGTCTCTAAACTCACCCGGCAGCCTGTGGGTCCAGGACCAGCGCTTCGATCACATGTGAGACCAGTAAACAGCTCTGTTGTTGTCTGAGCAGGAAGTGAAGAAAAAATAAAGACTGGAGAAAAAAAAAAAAAAACAGGTTTGTGAAAAAAAGAGGCGGGGTTTAAGGATACAGCTCCACGTTTCGAAGGGTGGCGTAATCTGCATCGAAGGACGACTGGTGTAACTCAGCGTAGCGAGCTGCGAGGCTCCTGAACTCGTCCATGCAGACCTTCATCTGGACCAAAGGGGGCGGGGTCTGATTATTGAGAGACTCTGAATCTGAACACAGAGCGTCTTTACAGCCTTCTCACTCCTACCTGCATAGAAATGCGTCCGCAGCGCTGCAGGTCGTTTCCTGAGGTGTGGGCGATGGTGGCGGCGATGGCGGGAGGGGGGCTGGTCTTCAGGCTGTTACAGGTACAGATGAGCTGAGAGAGCGCCTGCAGGGTGTCGATCCTCAGCTTAATGAACTCACACTGGAACGTGAGCGGACTGAGGGGCGTGCTGGCCGCCTGAGAGGAGGGAGGAGCAGAGAGGTGAAAGGTCATCTGCAGGTAAACGGGGACACACAGACACACACAGACACAGACACAGACACACAGACAATTACAGACACTTACAGACACAGACAGACACACACAGACATACACACACACACAGACACACACAGACACACAGACAGACACACACAGACAGAGACAGACACAGACACACACAGACAGACACACAGACAGACACACAAACACAGACACAGACACACACAGACACACACACACACACACACACACACAGACACACACACTCACACAGACACAGACACACACACACACACACACACTCACACACACACACACAGCTCCTGTTTGGAGTCTAGTTCCTGATCAGTGTGAAATGCTGAGTCATCATCGGCAGCCTTTACTGCGTGTCATCGATGACGGAGGAGGAGGAGAAGAAGAAACCCTGACCACGTCCTCTTGGATCTGTAAATCTGACTCACTGTGAGGGAGGCGATGCCCTTCTGATAAGAGCGCAGCGCCTCGGCGATGGCGCTCATGGCTCCGCTGTAGTCTCCGTCCTCCACATGACTCAGGTTCTGCTCCGCCTGGGAAAACTCCTTCAGGCTGTTCAGCCAGAAGTAGAAGTGCTCAGACGCTACACGGGTCCGCAGACTCTGGTACAGCTCACTGGAGAACTCGTGGCATCCCTGCAAACCCACAACGACAACAACATTAACGACGACAACGACAACAACAACGACAACAACAACCACAACAACAACAACCACAACGACAACAACGACAACAACAACGACAACAACAACGACAACGACAACAACAACAACAACATTAACGACAACAACAACAACAACAACAACAACAACAACAACAACGACAACAACAACAATAACGACAACAACAATGACAACAACAACAACAACAACAATGACAACAACAACGACAACGACGACAACAACAACAACAACGACAACAACAACAACAACAATAACGACAACAACAACGACAACAACAACAACAACAATAACGACAACAACAATGACAACAACAACAACAACAACAATGACAACAACAACGACAACAACAACAACAACAACAACAACAACAACAACAACAACGACAACAACAACAACAACAACAACGACAACAACAACAACAATAACGACAACAACAACGACAACAACAACAACAACAACAACAACAATAACGACAACAACAATGACAACAACAACAACAACAATGACAACAACAACGACGACAACAACAACAACAACGACAACAACAACAACAACAACAACGACAACAACAACAACAACAACGACAACAACAACAACAACGACAACAACAACAACAACAACGACAACAACAACAACAACAACAACGACAACAACAACAACAACAACAACAACAATAACGACAACAACAATGACAACAACAACAACAACAACAATGACAACAACAACAACGACGACAACAACAACAACAACGACAACAACAACAACAACAACAACGACAACAACAATGACAACAACAACAACAACAATGACAACAACAACGACGACAACAACAACAACAACGACAACAACAACAACAACAACGACAACAACAACAACAACAACAACGACAACAACAACAACAACAACAATAACGACAACAACAACGACAACAACAACAACAACAACAACAATAACGACAACAACAATGACAACAACAACAACAACAATGACAACAACAACGACGACAACAACAACAACAACGACAACAACAACAACAACAAACGACAACAACAACAACCACAACAACAACGACAACAACAACAACAACATTAACGACAACAACAACAACCACAACAACAACGACGCCGACAACAACGACAACGACAACAACAACAACATTAACGACAAGAACAATGACAACAACAACAACATGAACGACAACAACAACAACAACATTAACGACAACAACGATGACAACAACAACGACAACAACAACAACAACAACATTAACGACAACATTAACGACAACTTCAACATGAACATGGACACCGCCCCTCCATCAGGTTTTAGTTACAGATTAAGTTCATCACACCCGTTCTTCAGTCACTACACTGACTCCACCTCCATCAATGTCAGTCTTCCTCCTCATGTTCTCCTGTGTCCATGGAAACCCCCCCCCCCTGAATTTCTCCACAGACCACCTGAGGGTTTTGATGAAAATCTAAACCCCGACCTTTAAAAACCATCTTTGTTATTTTACTGCTTCTCAATCCTCGTGGAACATTTTACAAAATTTTAAATGAAACGTGATACAAATAAAATGTTTGATTATTATTATCATCATAATTATTATCTTATTATCAATTATTATTTTTATTACAATTGTTTATATAATTATAATTATAATAATTATTATTTCTCATTTTTGTAATAATTATGATCTACAATATTATTAATATCATTATTATTTTTAACTATTATAATAATTATATATATTTATTTATTTATATATATATATTTTAATTATCATCATGTTTTCACAGGAAGAAAAACTCTCACCCTCACACGGGTGAGGAGAAGGACCCGAGTTTCATCATTTTTCCCAGCTTCCTCTCTGATTCTGGTTCAGCCCTTCACTGATTTAACTGCTGGCAGTAAAAACTATAACAGCAATAATAATGAAAACAACAGTCATAACATTTCAGTCATATCTACGTCAGCTGACAGTCACCACCAACTCCTGCCTGATGAGGAGATGTCGGACTGAGCGTTCGTTGATTTTAGTTCTCCTGGGCCTGAGAACGTGAACTTTGACTCCAGAGAGAAGCAGAATGACTCGCTGTCAAACAAACAGCAGAGAGACACTCAGACAGTCAATACTGGGATTCCTGTGACCTTCTTATATCAGACGCATTAAAGAGACGAGTCTGAAGTTTCCCTCTGACAGCGCCACCGTCTCTTCAGATATATGTTTAAACTTTTACCCTCGGCTGGGATCCACTGATCGACTGATCTCTCTCTCTCTCTCCCTCTGTCTCTCTCTCTCTCTCTCTCCCTCTGTCTCTCTCTCTCTCTCTCTCTCTCTCCCTCTCTCTCTCTCTCTCTCTCTCTCTCTCTCTCACTGTCTCTCTCTCTCTCTCTCTCTCTCCCTCTGTCTCTCTCTCTCTCTCTCTCCCTCTGTCTCTCTCTCTCTCTCTCTCTCTCTCCCTCTCTCTCTCTCCCTCTCTCTCTCTCACTCTCTCTGTCTCTCTCTCTCTCTCTCTCTCTCCCTCTGTCTCTCTCTCTCTCTCTCTCTCTCTCATCTCTCTGTCTCTCTCTCTCTCTCTCTCTCTCAGATGTAGTTACCATTCGTGACGCTTGTCTTGCGATACGATACACCGTCCAGCCGTTAGCGACGTTCTCCAGCTGCTGTTTGATGATGGTCTTCACTTCAGCCGACAGAGACGACTGGCTGGCGACAAAAATCACTGTTGCCAAGGAAACCTGCAGAAGACATCGTTAAAAAAAGCTTCAATCAAAGATGTGGAGGCTATGAACCCTTTTTAGCATCAGCTAAACTAACGGTGGCGTGTTGCCGTGGAGACAAAGACCAGCTGTCTCTGTGGAACGCATGTTTGGGTCAGAGTGTCGTCTTCAGAAACTCTGATGGACTCAGGAAACAGCTGAGTTTGAATCATGCTCGCTCGCTCTCTCTCTCTCTCTCGCTCATGCTCTCCCTCTCCCTCTCCCTCTCTCTCTCTCTCTCTCTCTCTCCCTCTCTCCCTCTCTCTCTCTCTCTCGCTCATGCTCTCCCTCTCCCTCTCTCTCTCTCTCTCTCTCCCTCTCTCCCTCTCTCTCTCTCTCTCGCTCATGCTCTCTCTCTCTCTCTCTCTCTCTCTCTCTCTCTCTCTCTCTCTCTCTCTCTCTCTCTCTCTCACTCTCTCCCTCTCTCTCTCTCTCTCGCTCTCTCTCTCTCTCTCTCTCTCACCAGAAGCTCCTGCTGCTTGTCCGTGGAGGCGTGGCCCGCCACTCTGTACAGGTCCACCAGATCTCCCAGCATGCCCTCACCCAGCACGGGCAGGTGGGTGGCGATGGCTGACAGGGCGTGGCACATGAGGACGCGGGACGAGTCACAGGATAAGTGCAGCTGGCCCAGCAAGAACTCGACAGCTGATTGGCTGAGATGAGGTCGACTTTTCAGCAGATGGACCAATGAGGTGAGGGCGGTCTGGAACAAGAGACACAGGAACAGAGAGTTAGTCCCAGAGTTCAACTGTCAGAAAGACGGGGCGGAGCTTCAGTCAGGAATCCTCTGACCCTCCTGTCTAATCCAATCACAGTCCTCCACCGACCTTCTGCTGAGGACTAACAGACGAGACGAGATAAAACAAAGAAGAAGAAGAAACTCTGAAACAGAGAGAGAGGCGAGAGCTTTCAGTCGACTTCACTGAAGAGTCTTCACCTCTTTTCACCTCTTTACTTCTGTTCTAACACCAGGAGTGAAAAAACTGATCTGGGTTTAATCTGGATTATTATCAGGATTATATCTGGACTATATCTGGACTATATCTGGATTATATCTGGATTATATCTGGACTATATCTGGATTATATCTGGATTATATCTGGACTATATCTGGACTATGTCTGGATTATATCTGGATTATATCTGGACTATATCTGGACTATATCTGGACTATATCTGGATTATATCTGGATTATATCTGGATTATATCTGGACTATATCTGGACTATATCTGGATTATATCTGGATTATATCTGGACTATATCTGGATTATATCTGGATTATATCTGGACTATATCTGGATTATATCTGGACTATATCTGGATTATATCTGGATTATATCTGGATTATATCTGGATTATATCTGGACTATATTTGGACTATATCTGGATTATATCTGGATTATATCTGGATTATATCTGGACTATATCTGGATTATATCTGGATTATATCTGGATTATATCTGGATTATCACGGACAGACAGTAATCCAAACAAACCTCAAACTTTGATGCTGAAAAACGACCTTGAACTGTTTTCACTGATTTTGAAGCAGGTGAGAAAGTCTGTGGTTCTGAGGAAGAGGTCCAGACCAGTCCCTCGGTTTTACTGGGACCAGTGTTCTTCCTGGTTAGTCAGTGTATTTCATTCCTAGAGCTCAGAGAACAGATGTAATAACACCGATAAAAGCATCTTCACAGACGCTCCACAACATCCACATCAGTTAAAAACCGTCTGAAAAGATTTTTAAGTTTTAAGTTTTTTCTTCAAACTTTCAGTCGACTCTTCGCTGCATAAGGTCAGTGGTAGAGCGTTCCAGAGGCGAGGGGCACTGGCGTGGAAAGAGCGGTCACCTCATGTTTTAAAACGGGTGCGAGAGACCATCAGGAGTTTGAACGTGGGGAGGGGGAGGGTCTCAGTCGCTCAGTGATCATGGAGGGCTCTAAAAGCAAGAACTAAAATCTTAAAATCAATCCTAAAGTTAACCTGATGACCAGTGAGGGGAAGATGAATATATGAACGTATAAACATATAAATATAAAAACGTATAAACATATAAATATATAAACGTATAAATCTATAAAATCCCGTCTTACCTTGAGGATGGTCTGAGCTCCGGGGCTGCAGTCCTGACTGCAGAGCATCAGAAGAGACTCCACCCCCAAAACTGTGTCCTGCTCCAACTGCACGATATCTGAGGAGACACACACACACACACACACACACACACACACACACACACACACACACACACACACACACACACACACACACACACGTCAACATGGAGCCTCAGCAGAACAAACCCGGTCCAGATCTGAGTTGGGTTTCCTGCTCACCTTTCTCTGGACAGGAAATGGCGATGTTGGAGAGCACGACGACCCCATGAGCTGCCACTGCCAGGTTACTATGGTAACAGCACTCTTGTGCCAGTTTAACCAGGTCAGTGAGGCGGGGGGGCACTGAGGAGCCACCTGAGAGGAGGTCATGAACTCCGTTATATTTGAACCTGAAGGGTCACTGAAGGTCCGATATCGTGGATTTTAAACGACGCCTCGAACCGCCATCTTACCAAAGTACTGCTTGATTGCGATG